TACTTCTTCCAGTGGACCTTTTTCTACCTCAGATTAAATCAACCAAAGATGTATTCTGATACCTCTTCTAGTCAAAGACATTTTCTGGCTCAGTTTAAATCTGGTGCGTATTTATTCTGATACTTCTTCCAGTCAAAGTCGAACATATACATCTTTTGGCTCAAATAGAACCCACCATAGGTTTATTCTGATACTTCTCCCAGTTGAAGAGATTTTCTGGCTTAGTTTAAATCAAGCGTGTATTTATTCTGATACTTTTTCGAGTCAAAGTTGAGCATAAACATCCTCTGGCTGAGATCAAATCAACTAAATATTTATTCTGATACTTCTTCCAGTTGAAGTCAACAGTTATTTTGGATGGCATCTATAAGCTCATCTCCGACGAATATTCATCACCTCTTCAAATGGCATCTATAATCCCATTACCGTTATAATCAACAAAAAGCATCACTTCTTGCACGGGCGAGTGCAAATTTTAGGGCACATAAGTGTTCAATCCTCTTCTACCTTCAAGTTAGGAACGGCGAACGTGCCAATCTAAGTCTCCAGGTTTAAGAAGATTGAATAGGGGTAGTTATTGTACCCTAAAATTTTCCCTTCCATTATTCTTCAAAGAATTCTTTCAAGGCTCCTCAAATACTTAAGAATCTCAAAGGATGACCAGTCAAATACTCATCTTAAACCAAGAGCCTACAATTAGGGTTTTGAGTTTTTCAAGGAAATTTGGGTTGCAAAGATCTTAAGTGGTTTCCATGGTTCATTATAGGTCCTCAACAAGGTTCATGTCAACTTTCTAGTCTTGCATAACATGTTTTCTCAATCAATCACTCAGATGATTGAAAATCAACTATGTTGGGCAAAAAGTCAACTATGGTCAACATACAGTCAAACTTCAAGATTTTTGGTCAACATAAACATTTTGAAGCGATATTCATCATTTTATCAAGTGTTAATCATGATCCCCAAGGAAATCTCTCAAATCATCAAAAGTCAAGAATTGTCAAATTAGGGTTTCCTTAGGAGAAGTCAATTGAACTTTGACCAGACATAACTTTCACATGCTTCATCAACTTTTCCATAACAAAAGCCCGTTTTTTGAAGAAAATACAATTCTCTACAACTTTTCTTTTATGATCAAGTCCAAAAAATGCTCCATTTGAAAGATATGATCTAATACATTATGAGTCATTTTCAAAAGTCAACAAAAGACACTTTTTGTCAAGGCAACTTACATAAGATAATGTCTTCAAATGCAAAAATGATTAAAAGATAAATTTAGAGGACGTCTTTAGCTTTTCAAAAAGTCCAATATCAATTTCAAAAGATGAAAATTGAGCAAGTTATGAGTTTCACAAGTTGGGGAATTTTGAGGAAATTCATGAAATGCAAGATGAGCAAAATTGGATGTTTGAACTAATGAACCTAGTTTTTGATGTTCAAACATATTCACAACACCTTAGAGGACCTCTAGAAAGCATTCACACATTTTTAGGATTTTTATTTCTTTTATTTGAATTTCTATTCATTTAAAATAAATAAAAATATAAACCATGTTTGAAGGCTTGGGCCTTTTGTTTTCAGTCCAGCACAGGCCCATACAAACTCATGAAAACATGTCCAGATTCATGCAAGAAATCCAAGAGACAAGAATCATGCAAAGAATGCAAGTTTTTGATGTGTTAGAATATTGATTTCATGGGCATGAATATCTTGTCCCTCTCCATACTTGTTAGCTCATATTTCCCTCTATATAAAGGCAAGCCAAAGAAGATCAAAGACACGATATCACTGCACAAGAAGCTAGCAAAGTTATCGAAAAATTCTCAAAAACCCTCGAGCCTCAAAGCTCTATCCACAGACCTGCTCATTCCATAAATTCAGTCATACTCTCTTACTGGACGTGAAAGGGTAAGTTTGGACCAGTTACCATGGTCCAAAACACATGAGAAGGGCATGGCATGCATTTCCGATTGCATAAAGTTTTTGAAATTCATGTTCTTTTATTTTTGCGTTGTTTTAAGCTTCATGTTACTACTAATATGTTCCCAAGTTCTTCCTGAACAGGTTCTGACCAATGATACATCCCCATGCACGTGGAATGGTTAGATACCATTTATCCTCGAATCTATGAGTTTTGATTCAAAGCGCATGATTCAGGAGTTTTTAGCTTAAACTAATGCCAGATTTGGATTCAGGGGGGATTTTAAGGGGAGTATGGTGCCCTGTATGCTTTGACCGTTGCGTTTTTGCGGGTTTGAAATTTCGCGTGGTCGGAGAAGATGACCGGAGGTTGACTCTGGCGTCTCTGAGTCTTGCTGAATCTAGCAAGGGCATACATGGCACATAGGAGTGTTCTTACTGGTTCATTCAAAATCCAGGGAGACCAACCCAGCGCATGCGTTTTGAAAAAAATAAAACTACAATTGATTTAATATTTATATTTAATCAATTATGTGTATATATCGTATGAATCATGCAACTCTAGTGGAAACACACATGCACATAAGGCATTCATGCGCCTCGCCCTGGGTACGATCCTGGCGTGAGGCGTTTTTATTTTTCCATGTTATTCTTGCAGATCCGGTGATTACAAGGCCATCACGCACACGATACATCTCCCATCTAGGCCATCAAATCTCAAAGTCTCAGATCCAGCGCTCCAAAACCATCAGGACCATGATGTACACCAAGGCACCCTTCTCACTAGATCCAAAAAAGACTCATGGGCCATTAGTTTTGGGCCTAGAGAAATTCTGAAACGCACCCCCCATTTTCTCTAAATCAGGCCCATCTAAATTTCACTTTTGTTTTTTTAAATGCTTATTAATCCTTTTTTTCTTTATTTAATCATAAAATTAAAAAAAAAATAGACTTAGGCTTTTACAAATTAATTTAATCTTTTTTCATAATTAAAATGTGAATTAATTTAAATTAAATCACATGTTAATTTTTGCCAATTAATTAACTAATTAGAATTAGGTTTTTCATAATTTAATTATTTTTCTAAACAAAAATACCAAAAACATTTTTATACTTAGAAGTTTTTTAGAGCTTTTTAGATATGTTTACTCTATCCCATCTCCACATATTTATTTATTTCCGCATTATTATTTTTCATAATTTTGCAATTGTCCATAGTTTGTAATAGTTAAATTAGGACCTTTACATTTTATCCCTAATTTTTGGTTTGTATTCCCCCATCCCCGAAGCGATGTAATAGTGTAGTTTACTTCCCGCAATTTTATTTCCCGCCCTTATGTATATATCTAATAGTTAGATTAATTAGGCGTGCATGATAATCCTTAAAAGCAAACGGTAGAAAATCTAACCTCAAGACACATTTCGCACACACGCACCTCTAAGGTACCTCCACTTGTTGCCTTCGAAAAACAACACTCACGTCTCTCGATCGTGAGAGGTTTTATCAAAGACCCTTTGGTTAAAATATCATAGTCCCTCGATGACCCTTCGATGCTGCTTTAGTAAATGATCTTGGTACCTTAGAGAAAATTTTAAAATATCTTACGAGTTGCCTTTGTGACTGTATGATGACCCACACTTATCCTTCAAAACATCCAATGATAGGGCTACCTATTAACTAATGGTAGCATAGCACTGTCTAAAGGAAAAGAGGAAAATAAAAAATATCTTTCGAGTAGGTAGATAGCTTGTAGTTGCTTGCTCACAAAAGAAAACAAATTTCTCACACACTTCTTTTCTAAATATTTTCAAAGACAAAAACACTTTGTACGCATTCTCAACGATACGAGAATCATTACAAAGTTTTCCGCACTAAGGCATCTTTTCAAAATATTTTCAAAAACACACTTATACAAAAAGCATTTTCAAAGTGAGCTAGCAACTAAGAGTCCGTAGATAACTACGGATGAAAAGTGTGCTAACACCTTGTTGCTCCCCAAAATTTTCCCTCCTAATTTCTTTTACTTGGTTTAGTCTTTTGCATTCGTATGTATATATTCCATTAGGTCACTAACGTAGCATGCATTACATTCAATAGAGAACTTAAGGTTCAAAGTTCAGTGGTCGTGCAATATTAGGGATTCGCAGTGGTTAAGGCGTTTGTATCCAATAAAGGATGATTTCTTATTCGAGCAGTGAGATTGAGATTTAGGGTTGTGAGTTTTGGTCATTGAGAATTTATTTCTTCATCAAGCTACAAGGTTCTTCGGGTTTATTTCTCCATGTGTGAGAAAAGATCAGGACTTTTTCAACTATTGTACTCCAATGGAGGTTCTTCCTCAGGAATCATCGATCACAAGTTGGGATTTTGCCTAGTTGTTGTTTCAAGAACAGTGTATTGGATTTAAGATTTAATCACAGACAAGGATTCTCTTTGTTGTGATAGTGGTTATCAAGTGGATCTTAAGGTTTTGGTTGCATGGTATTCATGTGGCGCATTTCATAATTATGTTTTTTTTGTGAATCGTCATGAGAAGATTGGTTCATTTGGTTATGTGCTTTACAAGAAAATATTGTGGATTTGATACAAGATCATCTCAAAGTTAAGTTTAAGCTATTGGGACTTTCTTATATGGATCTGTTGGTACAAACATTGAATGAAGTTTAATTGAGATTCAAGATTCCTGGTTCAAACAAGATTCATACAAATTCAAGTTTCATTCGAGATTCATTCTATATTGCAAAAACAAGAAGAAAGCTCTAAATGTGAAAGGGGCAATTGGAAGAAAGTTTTGGTGCATTGGTATTTCCGTCCAATGATACTTTTGAGTTATGATAAGCATGAAATATTGGAGAAAGAAAGAATATTGCGAAATCATGGTTCAAACACATTCATCATCAAAGTTCACAATATTCATTATTATTCTATCAATGGTATTTCAGGATCAAAGAAATGAGTATTCATTTACAAGTTCAAAAGCAATTAAGTGAAATTTAAATTCAATTTGAGGGAGAAAAGCATACACTTTTGAATACTTAAAAATATTGATGTTGAATTCTAAAGATTTTAAACTATATTCATGATCAAGAGCTATAATTTCATGCGAAATGTCAAGAAAAACTTATTCAAAATCTATCCAGATTTCATCCAAAACTTCCTCATTCAATGTTCAAGTGTTAGAGTACACCATTGTCACTTACAAACTCAAATCATTACACCAATAATAAAGCGAGAAGCTCAAATTATAAATATCACGAAAATTGCAAGAATTGGCAAAACCCAGCTTTCCATGCTCTCTGTCTTCATGCCTCAACCAAATTCCATGTTTTCTTTCAAGTCTCCAAACCAAGCTGACAGTTAGACCAAAACAGCTCTGCATACAATTGTCAAAATCGTGCCAAACAAATCCCAAAAAGGCTTGATGAATCTTACTCCAAGACACCATTTGCACCATGCTAAAATAGTTGCCGTGATAAGTCCTGTTTCAAACTTACAGCTAGCATAATATACCAATAATCAGCCTTGCAAAAAACCGTAAGCAGAAACTAACAGGATTGATAATAAGCCTAGCTTCAAACCAATTCAAACTAATCCTAGCTGCCATAACAGAATCCAACCAATACTGCAGAGAAAGCTGGTGAACACCCTGAATGGTTGTCTAATGGCTGGGATGTTAAAGTTCAAACCCGAAAAAGTGGTTTGGCTATGGGATCTTCATATAATTTCTACATTGATCCATTGAATATTCATAAATTCTACTCCAAACCCGAGGTACTACGACATCTTGAAACTACAAAGGCCAGCAACTGCTCTTCCAAGAAGAAGAAAGGCACTCTCCAAGCAATGTTGCGAGCGAGAAGTCTGCTGAAGAGGATCTACCCCCTGGATGGAATAAAGAAGCAAAGATTAGGAAGAACAGAAATGGCATAAGGAAAGATTGGATATGTATTCCATTGCAAGAAGGATGTACAATGTCATCTTGAATCTTGAGATATAGACAAATATGCTACTAAATTAAGTAAAAGACAAAATTGGGATGAAGACAACTCAACTCCACATCCTACTGCCAATAGACAGGAACCCAAGCATTCTACACTCAGGCAGGAGATTTCTACTGCCAATAAACCAGCTGAAAGTTTAGAATCGCTAGATGTTAACAACTTAATGAAAGGGAAAGATGTGAATGTGTCATTTGGAATGATGGTTTCTTCTGGTACCTCAGGTGAATCCTTGAATGCCGGCAATCGATCTTCATGGAGACTGACTGGGGTTGAACCTGTTAAGTTGGCCGACAATGTAATCAATAATCAGATTCTAGTTCCAAAAACAAACTTAAGAAATAACAAAACTCATAATATTCCAGCTCAGCATCAATTAACAAAAAAACCCAAAAAATAGCTAACAACTTGTAACAGAATTTCAAACTAATTCTCTAGATCCCTATAACTGACTCGTAACAGAATTTCAGAAAGGAAGCAGCTCTAACCGTTTCCTTTAACAGATTCTAACAGAATTATAAAAACAGAAAAAACTCACCATTTAGGGGCTTCGATTGACAGAAGGATATCCACCAAAAAAAGTCAGAAAAATATCTCTCCTATCATCTTCATCTTCATCTTTGTCTGCTAAGGAATCTCCCTCTGAAATTCTCTCTGTTTCCTCTCCCAAACTTTACTCTCATCTTTCTTCATCACCTTCATCAACCTTTATACCACCCAAAAATCAGAAAAGTATCTCCGAGCTACTACACAGCTTGGTCCTTCATAATCATCAACACTTTAATTCTCTATTCTCTGCAAGAATCTTCATCGGTTCCTCAATCATCTTCAAGCTTTGTACATCAGTCACTGCATCGACTCTGCCACTCATGTAACAACCAGCAACGCATTGAATCAGAGAAGTAGAATTGAACACAGAGAAGAGTATTCAAAAGCGCAAAAAGAAAAAGGATTCGTACCTGATTCAGATTAGTTCTCCGGTTTTCTACTAGGATTCGTCATCACGGAAGAATCGCCAGAATGTCTCCATCCAAGTAGGTTACAATTTCTTTCATTATTTGTTCTTCTCGCTTCATAATCTATGTGGTAGCACTATTTAGATCGATAGTGTTTGGGAAGTGATTGAGGTGTGAGAAGATTCGAAACGATGGGAGGAGATGAGGTGTTGAGGGATCCGAGGTAAAGACGTCGAGATGGACAGCGCCACCGTGATGAGGTATTAAAAGGAGAGGAAAGAGCCGAGAGCGGAAGAGAAACTCAATACCTAAAATTGACCGCCGAATCGAAGTAGCGTGTGAGGGTGATTCGACACGAAATCATGGAGAAGCACAGAGACATGGATACTTTGAGGCTTCGCGAGGAAGGATGAATCGAGGTTTCTAAATCCAAAATCTGAACTCAAATTGAATGAAAGATGAAGAAGAACAATGAACGTTGAGACGTTTCTAGTGGCGAATCGTTGATGTTCGTCGGAGAGAAGCGCGCCACCGTGAGCATTGAGTTCTGAACAAAGAAGAGATCGTGATTTTATGAAAAAAAGGCTTAAAAACCTAACTCGCATAAACGTTGTGTTCAGCGGCCTTTCCATTTCCATGGTTTTATTAAATTTGTTTTCAATTACTGAATGTAAATAAATATTATTGATGATAAAAAAAGAAAATTCATTTGGTGAAGTGGGTTGATGGATGGGATAATGGACCGAACCACACATCCTTGGGCCTGAATTATTTTTGGTAACTTCTTGCTGGATGCAAACAAAAATTGCTATGGGATCATTTTGATGGGCTTAGTGTCTCATTCTGAATTTCTGGATTATACTTCCTGTCTACAGCGTGCACCCCTGGATTCCTCTGTTTAAATTGCTTCTTATAATTTTTATGATTGATTTCTAATTGATCGGGTGAAGCTTCCGCGAGGATCTTGAGCTTTTGAGCGTGTTGAAGAGGCAACAAAACTTCTCCATTAGGTTTATTGCGTGGTATGCGGATATGATTGAGATTTCGATTGTGATTTATTTTCACATAGATGATGCTTCGACACATGTCTTGAGCGCTTGATTTCTGACTCTTTTCTTTGCTAGGTGAAGCTTACTCGAAGTTTTTCGGGTTTCTTTATTTTGATACGCTTTGCTATAGATTGATATCTGTTTGGTATTTTCCCTTGTTTATCTCATTTCAGCATTTTACTGCTTTCTAGATATCATGAGAAGTAGGAAATAAAGAGTGTGCGCTCGAAGTCGCTGTTTAAAGACATGTAGCAGGCATTCCGCACTTCATTTTCTATATGTGTTATGCTTGTGTTTGTTTCCTTGGTTGTTGATCGATGAGTCACTTAATTTAGAAATTGAGATCACGACTTTGCTCTCAGTGCATGCTCCCTATAGGATTTCATTGCTTTCCTTTATTTCTTATTGATCGATGAGTCACTCAATTTAGAAATTGAGATCACGACTTCGCTCTCATTGCATGTTCCCCATAGGATAATTTTTGTTAGACTTCCTTTGGTATGCTAGCCTAGGTAGGATCTCTCTAGTTGTGCTCTCTTGAGCTTATTGGATTGCTTGTTTGATTTCATCTTTGTGTGCATGTTTTGAGAAGATATACCCTCGGCATGTTCCCTTAGGAGCTCTCGATTCAACTATAGATGATGATTCGAGATAGACATAGTTTTAGGTGATAGACCCTTGCTATGCTCCTTTAGGACTTCTTGATTCATCTATAGATGATGAGTTGAGATAGACATTAGGATTTTTATCCAAGCATGTCAACTTAGGGTAGAGATTTCCCTTAAAAGCTCAACCTTAGGATCAATCATTGTATGATAATATTATGGATAAATTTAGGTTAGTCTCCCTTAGATATTTTCTTTTCTTTTGCATCCTTGCATTTAAAACAAAAACCTTCTCTTTCTTGGAAAAATATTAAAACATCTAACAATTTCCAAATCCTTCTTTAAGGTAAAAGCTATCAACAAATGCAAACTCTTTTGCGCCTTCGGGCTTTTCTTTCAAACTTTTTAGAAAGAACATGTTAGTTCACATTTATGCTGACGCGTAAGTCTGCAAACGTCGAGTTGCGGCAGAAGGTGAAATTAATATTGTTCATTAAAAAATACAAACCAACAAAAAATATTTGTAGCCAAACTACGGCTGCTCTGATTCCTTAAAAGGGATACGCAGGCATTCGGGTAGGGCCCGAACGAGCACAACTTTTATTTTCCCTATATTATTTTCTCTTTTCTTTTGCATGCATTCCCTGTACAGTTTAGATATAGATTTGAAATACACCCATAAGATATACAATAATAGTGGATACCGTAGAGTACTACGGGCCTGTGGGATGCTAATACCTTCCCCTCACGTAACAGACTCCCTTACTCGATCTCTTGGTCGTTCGACCTTGATTTCACCCTTCTCGGGTTTACTCGATGTTTACCATTCCCCTCCCGTGAGATAAAAAACATTTGATGGCGACTTCATTGATTTCATTATCAGTTGATTGTTCAGCCGTCTATTTCAGCTGTCGACTTCACTAAGGAACCGATTGACCTATTGCTGGTCCATCATGGAGTCGATCCTAGCTCTTGTTTTCTTTTCCTTGGATGTTTATTTTATGCTTTCAGTTTATTCATTTTGTACATGTTTATCTGAGCATATGTTTGCATCATATTTTATTGCTTTCTGTTGTACCCCAAAATTTGCCCTCCCATTTCTCATTGATTTCTCATCACAAAGCCCTTAAAGCTCAAGATCCAGTTAGGGTTTCATCTGCTCAAGACTTCTCCTTGCACTATGGACCCAAATTAGGGTTTGTGTTTGCACAAAGATGTTTTGACCTAAAATGCCTAAGATGACTTTCATGCTTCATATTGGACTCCCAAGTTTATCCATACCAAGTTTCAAGCCTTGATTCCAAGTTTTGCCCAGTCAATTGGACAGTTGACCTAGAAATCAGCTGTGCTGGGAAAAAGTCAACTTTGGCCAATTCACAGTCAAACCTCATGAAAATTGACCCACATCAACATTATAAACTCACATGGACCATTTGATCAAGTTTGGATCACAGTTCCACAAGAAATTTGATCAGATCACCAAAAGGGCAAAATGGTCATTTTTAGGGTTTTGACTGCACAAAGGCAATTTTTGACTGTTTGACCTAGCCAATGGCAAACCAAGCTCATAGATGGACTCAAGGACCCCATGGAATTGTCTTGACATTCTCAACAAACTCAAAAGATCCCAAGTACACAAAATTGACAGTTGAATTTCCCAGTCAATTGATCAATTTTGACTGTACACTGAAAAGTCAAACTTTGACTTTTTGGTCAAAATCAAGAGTCACGATTCATTTTTCATCAAAACATG